CACAAAAAAAATTAAACAAAAAAATCAAAAAACAATTTATGAGCTGTGAATCAATCAATTAATTCTCCAAACCCATTTGTTTTAAGTTTCAATTTCACAAATGTATTAATTAAAACAAACTAAATAAATTGATAGTTAGTTAAATTACCATAGATTGAGATTCAAAGATGTTATATTTTGGCACTTCTCCAAGCTCATTCCAATGTTCTTAGCTCCATCTGCATCAACCTAATTATACCTATGAAAATAATAAATAATGAATGTGTAGAAAATAATGAAAATAAAATAGAAAAGTAATTAATAAATGGGTTAATAATGAATGATTTTGCTAAACATATTAAAAAGTGCTTATTTATATTATTTATTTATTTATTTATTTATTTTGATGCAATTAATTGGAATAATTGTTTCAATTCGTAAACAAATAAATTTAGATGCACAAAAAAAATTAAACAAAAAAATCAAAAAACAATTTATGAGCTGTGAATCAATCAATCAATTAATTCTCCAAACCCATTTGTTTTAAGTTTCAATTTCACAAATGTATTAATTAAAACAAACTAAATAAATTGATAGTTAGTTAAATTACCATAGAATGAGATTCAAAGATGTTATATTTTGGCACTTCTCCAAGCTCATTCCAATGTTCTTAGCTCCATCTGCACCAAGGCCATTACCCCTATGAAAATAATAAATAATGAATGTGTTGAAAATAATGAAAATAAAATAGAAAAGTAATTAATAAATGGGTTAATAATGAATAATTTTGCTAAACATATTAAAAAGTGCTTATTTATTTATTTATTTATTTATTTATTTATTTATTTTGATGCAATTAATTGGAATAATTGTTTCAATTCGTAAACAAATAAATTTAGATGCACAAAAAAAATTAAACAAAAAAATCAAAAAACAATTTATGAGCTGTGAATCAATCAATCAATTAATTCTCCAAACCCATTTGTTTTAAGTTTCAATTTCACAAATGTATTAATTAAAACTAACTAAATAAATTGATAGTTAGTTAAATTACGCTAGATTGAGATTCAAAGATGTTATATTTTGGCACTTCTCCAAGCTCATTCCAATGTTCTTAGCTCCATCTGCACCAAGCTTATTATACCTATGAAAATAATAAATAATGAATGTGTTGAAAATAATGAAAATAAAATAGAAAAGTAATTAATAAATGGGTTAATAATGAATGATTTTGCTAAACATATTAAAAAGTGCTTATTTATTTATTTATTTATTTATTTTGATGCAATTAATTGGAATAATTGTTTCAATTCGTAAACAAATAAATTTAGATGCACAAAAAAAATTAAACAAAAAAATCAAAAAACAATTTATGAGCTGTGAATCAATCAATCAATTAATTCTCCAAACCCATTTGTTTTAAGTTTCAATTTCACGAATGTATTAATTAAAACAAACTAAATAAATTGATAGTTAGTTAAATTACTAGAGATCCAGATTCAAAGATGTTATGTTTTGGCACTTCTCCAAGCTCATTCCAATGTTCTTAGCTCCATCTGCACCAAGCTCATTTTCCCTATGAAAATAATAAATAATGAATGTGTTGAAAATAATGAAAATAAAATAGAAAAGTAATTAATAAATGGGTTAATAATGAATGATTTTGCTAAACATATTAAAAAGTGCTTATTTATTTTGAAATTTATTATAGTTATTTTCAGAAAATTATTTCTAGAGTTAGAAATATAGAATTAGTAGAATAATAAATATTATTTAATATAATATTTAAAAAATTAAAATAAATAAAAAAAAGGTTTTGAAACAGGTTTCGAACCTGTTATTTAGGGGAGAAAATATCAATTAAAAAATAAAATATATGAACAACTGATGCTATTTATATCATTTATATTATTGAATAATTTGTAAAAATGAAATTTTTTTTTATTTAAAATCAATAAATAATAATATTAATACTCGAAATCAAGATCTAAGTGATGAACAATCCTCTTTGCTATACATTCTTTTATTTTAGAGAGATTTCTGTAATCCTTAAATTTATACTCATCTAATCTGACTTCACTTTGTTTGCATGTATAGTTAAATTTAACAAAAGATTGTCTGAATTTTGCAATCATCAAATTAGATTCAGTAAAATCCAATTTGTTCTCTACTGCACAAATGAACTAATTTTCTAGTTTTAGTCTTAATTCATTTAATTGTTTAGTTAGCTCAAATGAATCGATTCTATTCTAAGATATTTAATCAAGCATTTTAACTATGATATAGTTAATATCTTAATATAAAACATTTTTGCTTATATATTTTTATAGTTCTCCATTTCTGATAGATTTACAATCTTTATACTCGAGAAACTTTCCAAGGGTTAATTCAAGAAGAATTACTCCTAAACCATAAATATCATACTTTAAATAAAAATTAAATATAAATAAGTAAATAAATAATAAAATAATTTAATAAATTTACTTTGATATTGAAGGAACCATTTTTTGTATCTGTGATTTCTGGAGCTGCATACTTTGGTGTATGTCCTTTGAGCTTTTAAACATTAAAAATGTAAAATAAAAATAAATTTATAAAGATATAGATTCTAATATGCTAAGAATATAAAGAAATTTTTATATATTAGAAAAATGTAATACTGATAGATTTTAAATAATTAAACCTTTTAAAGTAAGTGAATTAATTTAAATTATAAATAAATTAATTACATCATAAGTTTTTGATCCATCTTTAAATGATTTAGATTCTCCGTAATCACCTTTTAGAATAAATATAAAAATTTAGGATAAAATAAACTTATAAATAAAATAAAATGCAACACAAAAGCACTATAAGTAAACCTTATAAATTTAAAATATTTATAAAGAAATATATACTATTTTTAAAAATTAATTTAACTAATAGAGCAAAGTCATTTGTTTAAATTTAAAAATATTTAAATAAAAATCTAGTAGTTTGGAATGCAATTAGAGTTTTGATAGGCATGCTTTAATCAATAAATCAATATTAAAAAATAAAAAATAGATTTAAAATTAATAAATAAATAATTTATTTTAATTAGATTTATTTTCTGATTAATATGTAAATTTGCTTTTTTATACTTTTAGTAGTGAAAATTTCAAAATTAGGTTGAAAATTTTTTATGTTTTTCAATTACCAGCTTAAAACTGATTATTAGAAGGGGGTAAGATTGAATGAACTTACAATAAATATTATTTTTTTTGGAAAATTACTTTATCTAAAGGTTTAAAAACAAAATAAAAATTTTAAATAGAATTAGAAATTTACATAGATTAAAACATTTTTCTTAGCTATCGTAAAGGATATTGTCTGGTTTAACATCAGAATGAATCAAATTATTTTATTAAATTATTTCAAACACTGATGACATCTGAATAGCAAGACCAATTATTTAGTTGAGTGATAAAGTTTTTTTCTAATCAAAGAAGCTTTTCATAATATCTTTAAGACTGCCTAAAAATTTAATATTTTAAAAAATAAATATAAAAAATGTGAATTTTTACATTAATATCTTTTAGAAAACTGATAGTATCTCGAGTTTTATTCATTTATACACTCTTTGATAGGTTTAAAAGCATAAGGAGCTTCCTTTAATAATTTCAGTATTTTTTCTTCTTCTTTGATTTTTTCTAAGTCAACTTTGCTACATTTGACAGCTACAATTTCTTTATTCTACTTAGCCTCAAAAACACATCCAAAACTACCTTGTGAAATGTAGGATGTTAAGTATATCCCCTACGATTTAAGCTCATTGTAAATCGATATTAAATCATCTTAACTAAATATCATATTCTTCTTATGCTTTTAGAAGTAGTCCTTACAAATTTCTTCAAATTTTTCTACAGGTGTCTCTATTTTAAGCTCAGTGTTTTATACTTGCCCCATTGTTAATAAAAATTGCTAATACATAAAATAATTATAATATTAAATGTTTAAGAATAAATAAGTTTTTTTTTAATTTGAATAATATATTTTATTTTATAACGAAGTCTTTTTTATTTACCTTTATTTTCTTTCCTTTCTTTCTTTCAATTAATTTCTTTGATTTTTTCTTAATTAAATTATAAAAATTTATTAATTAAAAAACTATATAATTTATTAATGAATCAATTTAATTAATTTGTGATTTTCCCCAAAAACCTCAAAATTAAATTTATTCTTTTTTTCTAGAATAATTTAAAACTTAATTAATTTCTATTAAGCAATTTCACTTTATTTTTTAATATTTATTTATATTAGATTTTATTTTAATTAAACTTAAAGTAATTAAAAACAAAATAAAATAATATTTATTTATTAGAGCTAATTAAAAAAGAAAATAATAGTTTTTAAAATCTATTATAATATATTAAATCTGATGAATAACAACTAAAAGATAAATCAACCATATCTTAAAAAAATATACTACAGACAAAGTTTAAATCAACTAATTATTTATCAAAATATCTTCTATGAAACCTATAAATTATCTATCTACTAACAAGCCAAATAAAAAATTATAATTTACTTAGTTTCTATTTTATATTTAGTTCAACTTTATTTGTCTAATATTATTTCATAGTAATCTATTACTTACTAAATATAGGGTTGGACAAAAAAATTGGACAGTGCCAAAAATATTTCAAAGAGTTACCTAAAATAAATTTCATAATTTTGTTTACATTTTTAATGAATGAAAAAAATTCTTCATCTAAAAATTAAATGTTTTATTATAAATTTAAATTTCTTCATTAAAAAACAAATTAAATCTTCATTTTTTATTTTTTTCTTCTATCAGATTCAAAACATGATTTAAATTTTTTTTTATTAAATAAAATATATTATTCTACTAAAAGTATATTTCTTATTCAAGAAATAATTATCCGAAAATAGCAATAATTATTAAGAGTTTCTTTTTAGAGTGTACTAATTTAAAACAATTTAGTCACAACAATCCTTATAGTTTTGATAATTATTATAATTATTAAAATAGTAAAATTATATTTTAATCAATATGTTTTTTAAAGTCTATCTTTAATGAAAATAAAAATAATACAGTTGAAATGGTTTAAAATTTACTATTAAGATATTTTAAACAATAAATTTAATTTAAATGAAAAAAACTTTTTATAAATTTTAATATATATGTATTTACGTATTATAATAATAATTTTATTTGTTATTTATCTATGAGTTATATAAGATTAATTACATTTAGAACATGAAATTCATATATAAAAAATATTTATTAATGGATTCTTAAAAATTGTGATTAGCTTCATTTATTGATCAATATTTATTTGCAGATAAATATATTATTATATACTAATTTTTTGTACTTTTTTCATTGTCCACATTAATTTTGAATTTATGTTCGAAATCATCAAATCTGTAAAATATATAAATTTAGTATAATTAAATTAAAATAGAAAAATGAAAATTATTAATTAATCAGTGATTAATAATTTTACTAAATATATTAAAAAGTGTTTATTTATTTTGATGCAATTAATTGGAATAATTGTTTCAATTCGTAAACAAATAAATTTAGATGCACAAAAAAAATTAAACAAAAAAATCAAAAAACAATTTATGATCTGTGTATAAATCAATTAATTATCCAAACCCATTTGTTTTAAGTTTTAATTTCACTAATGTATTATTTAAAACAAACTAAATAAAGTAATGGTTAGTTAAATTACCATAGTATGAGATTTAAAGATGTTATGTTTTGGCATTTCTCCAAGCTCATTCTAATGTTCTTAGCTTCATCTGCACCAAGGTCATTAATCCTATGAAAATAATAAATAATGAATGTGTTGAAAATAATGAAAATAAAATAGAAAAGTAATTAATAAATGGGTTAATAATGAATGATTTTGCTAAACATATTAAAAAGTGCTTATTTATTTATTTATTTTGATGCAATTAATTGGAATAATTGTTTCAATTCGTAAACAAATAAATTTAGATGCACAAAAAAAATTAAACAAAAAAATCAAAAAACAATTTATGAGCTGTGAATCAATCAATCAATTAATTCTCCAAACCCATTTGTTTTAAGTTTCAATTTCACAAATGTATTAATTAAAACAAACTAAATAAATTGATAGTTAGTTAAATTACCATTAGATCGAGATTCAAAGATGTTATATTTTGGCACTTCTCCAAGCTCATTCCAATGTTCTTAGCTCCATCTGCACCAAGGTTATTACCCCTATGAAAATAATAAATAATGAATGTGTTGAAAATAATGAAAATAAAATAGAAAAGTAATTAATAAATGGGTTAATAATGAATAATTTTGCTAAATATATTAAAAAGTGTTATTTATTTATTTTGATGCAATTAATTGGAATAATTGTTTCAATTCGTAAACAAATAAATTTAGATGCACAAAAAAAATTAAACAAAAAAATCAAAAAACAATTTATGATCTGTGTATAAATCAATTAATTATCCAAACCCATTTGTTTTAAGTTTTAATTTCACTAATGTATTATTTAAAACAAACTAAATAAAGTAATGGTTAGTTAAATTACCATAGTATGAGATTTAAAGATGTTATGTTTTGGCATTTCTCCAAGCTCATTCTAATGTTCTTAGCTTCATCTGCACCAAGGTCATTAATCCTATGAAAATAATAAATAATGAATGTGTTGAAAATAATGAAAATAAAATAGAAAAGTAATTAATAAATGGGTTAATAATGAATGATTTTACTAAACATATTAAAAAGTGCTTATTTATTTATTTATTTATTTTGATGCAATTAATTGGAATAATTGTTTCAATTCGTAAACAAATAAATTTAGATGCACAAAAAAAATTAAACAAAAAAATCAAAAAACAATTTATGAGCTGTGAATCAATCAATCAATTAATTCTCCAAACCCATTTGTTTTAAGTTTCAATTTCACAAATGTATTAATTAAAACAAACTAAATAAATTGATAGTTAGTTAAATTACGATAGATTGAGATTCAAAGATGTTATATTTTGGCACTTCTCCAAGCTCATTCCAATGTTCTTAGCTCCATCTGCACCAAGCTCATTATACCTATGAAAATAATAAATAATGAATGTGTTGAAAATAATGAAAATAAAATAGAAAAGTAATTAATAAATGGGTTAATAATGAATGATTTTGCTAAACATATTAAAAAGTGCTTATTTATTTATTTTGATGCAATTAATTGGAATAATTGTTTCAATTCGTAAACAAATAAATTTAGATGCACAAAAAAAATTAAACAAAAAAATCAAAAAACAATTTATGAGCTGTGAATCAATCAATCAATTAATTCTCCAAACCCATTTGTTTTAAGTTTCAATTTCACAAATGTATTAATTAAAACAAACTAAATAAATTGATAGTTAGTTAAATTACCCTAGATTGAGATTCAAAGATGTTATATTTTGGCACTTCTCCAAGCTCATTCCAATGTTCTTAGCTCCATCTGCACCAAGTTTATTTAACCTATGAAAATAATAAATAATGAATGTGTTGAAAATAATGAAAATAAAATAGAAAAGTAATTAATAAATGGGTTAATAATGAATGATTTTGCTAAACATATTAAAAAGTGCTTATTTATTTATTTTGATGCAATTAATTGGAATAATTGTTTCAATTCGTAAACAAATAAATTTAGATGCACAAATAAATTAAACAAAAAAATCAAAAAACAATTTATGAGCTGTGAATCAATCAATCAATTAATTCTCCAAACCCATTTGTTTTAAGTTTCAATTTCACAAATGTATTAATTAAAACAAACTAAATAAATTGATAGTTAGTTAAATTACGATAGATTGAGATTCAAAGATGTTATATTTTGGCACTTCTCCAAGCTCATTCTAATGTTCTTAGCTCCATCTGCACCAAGGCCATTACCCCTATGAAAATAATAAATAATAAATGTGTTGAAAATAATGAAAATAAAATAGAAAAGTAATAAAAAAATGGGTTAATAATGAATGATTTTGCTAAACATATAAAAAGTGCTTATT